AGTTATTAAATGATTAAGAATGAAAAAGCCACAGAAAGTTACCAAAAGTGAGGAAGATGCAATTAGCTAAGAATTTGTAAAGGATCAGGGTGAGGAAAACTAAGTGGGTTTACACAATTAAAGGTAAGGCCCAAACCAAACCTGAGTCTAAATACCTAGTGAAAATATAAAGAAAAGATTATGTGGAGTTAGAGATTAACTACAAAACTAATCTTGGGAGGACTCGTCCCCCTCCCTACATGGGAGTCCGTTCTGTGGGATTCTTTCCCTCTCCCCGTGTGGGAGTCTGTACGTGTTCTCCAATAAATTTCCACTTTTGCAATAAAATAAAACTAATGTTGGCAGAAAGTCATTCCTTAAGACCAAACACAGACACTGCCCTTTGATAAGTGTGCGCTCAGACTAAGATGGACTTCTAAGCCTTCTAATCAGTTCTCTTGGAAACATTTCACTGGTTCTTCAAGGTCCATCCTGACTCACACAGCAAAACTAAATTCCTGACTCCTCTAAGCCTGACTCACCCGGCACTAACCACAGCTTTGTTATTTTCTACAGGACCAAGTCATTGATTTCAAACCACTGTAGAGAAAGAACTGTATCTCAGATGTTTTAGTTGGCATTATTTGGTAGCAAATAACAGCTTCCCAAACTTAAAAAAACTGAAGGTGGAAGTGAAGCAGTCTCTGTAAGGTTTAAAAGGTGTCTTCAGGAAATCAGGAAAAGGAAATGCAAAATGGCACAAAACACTGGAAAAGTGGTTTTCAGGACTCCTGGGACCGTTTTCTTCATCTTTTTCTCTTGGGGTTGTATCTCTCTCATCTTTGCCTTACTCTTTCTGCTTCACATACATGTTCCAAATGCAACCTCCCAAGACATCAGCTTTCCGATTCCAAATTCCCAGAAATCATTTACTTGGCTCAGATTTGACCAGATGTCCACTCCTTGTTGGATCACCTAAACAGCTCATCCCTAAATATTACTTTTAAAAGTAATATTCAAAAAATGGGCCAAAAGTTAGTATTTCCCTGTTTCTAGTAATTGGAGGCTTGGACTTATCTTTATTTGGAAAAAAAAGGTGCAGTTCTTTGACGGCCTTTTCCAATTTAAGGTTGGAACCATTACATGCTAAATTTTCTTTCAATTGAAATGAACCTAGAGTCTTTGGTTGGCTCCTAGAAACATTAAAATAGGAAAGAATTCTACATCAGGGTGTGATTTCTTCAAGACAGTATTTTTTTCTTCAGATTCCATCCTTTGTAAGAAGCAGTCACATCAGAAACATTGTCCACTATAATTTAGATTCTAAAGTTCACCTTCCACATTTTTGCATTAAAGACAAAATAACCGCCTTAGCTGGTTTTGCTCAGTGGATAGAGCATCAAACTGTGGACTAAAGGGTCCCTGGTCAAAGGCACATACCCGGATTGTGGGCTGGATACCAAGTAGGGGGTGTGCAGGAGGCAGCCAATCAATGATTCTCTCATTATTGATGTTTCTCCCTCTCCCTTCCTCTGAAATAAAAACATTAAAATAAACAAAAATTATCCCTTATTCTGAAAAAGAAAATGCATGAACCATAGTCAAATGGAAAAATGCAAAATAATGGTCTTTACTACAGAAAAATAAAATCTCAAGAATTAGCAGGTGTGGAAAAATACAAACCATTTATTGAGTCTTTACTATAAGCCAGACACTGCTAAATGCTTACATTTTAATCAAAACAATTTTGATGTGTACTATTATTAGATATCCTTTTTATAATGATGAAAATTTCAAGGCAAGAAACTACCCAATATCACATCTAGTATGTAGTTTAATATGGACTTAGAAGAGAAGCAAGGAAGTTAAAGGCTGGGAGGTGGGGAGGAAAGTCTGAAGGAAATAGAGGACCTCCCACCCCATTTCAGTATATCATTTTTAATACTTAAAAAAAAAACTTTTAAATATATAATTAAATTATATGAATCATGTTACATTTTCTTAAACTTCAACTCCAATTTTGTTATGCATTTGTATCTGGGTAGCTTAGTGGTCATTTAAGTTCTATTCTCTGGCAATATTCATCAATTTAAGTATCCTTTTTAGAGACGTTTTCAACCTTTTTCTCAATCCTGACTCAGCCACGATCTGTGCATCCTTCTCCTCTTCATGACCAAACTTACTATTGTCTGCTTGCTGTCTCTAAAGCCTCTTGTCTTGTGCCCTGTCAATTACTGTGACCCCCAAAAGATTGGGAATCACTGGTAAAGATTAAATTCTGAACCGCTTGTTCAACTCCTCCAAAACGTTGACACTCCCTCTCTCACAAATTCCTGTGTACCTCTATTCTTCCCTTTTTGCTAATGTCTCTGCCCGAGTTTCCAAAACTCCTCCATGCAGAATCCACCAAGTTTCTAGAGCATTTTGTATCTGCTGCTAGTATAAATTTATCACAATGCATGTGATATGCAAGTCTACCTGAACAAGAAACTAGGCCAAATCAATATTATCTTTGTGTCTCCAACACTAAATAAAGGAGGTGATTTTACTAAAATATCAAATCTTGTTCCAAGATATCCACCAATTTGTTTTGTGCTCATTGACAACAAAGGAATTAATAGCCCTGGCTGGTATGGCTCAGTTGGTTGGAGTGCCATGGTGTGCACTGAAGAGCCATACGTTCGATTCTCAGTCAGGGCAAATATCCAGGTTTTGGGTTCCATTTCCCATTGGGGCACCAGAGCATGTATGAGAGGCAACCAACCAATGTTTCTCTCTCTCCTCTCCCCCGCTTCCTCTCAAAACATTTATTAAAAACAAGCAAACATATCCTTGAGGGAGGGAAAAAGAAGAACTACTACTCATTGATGGCAAAAAGTTTTAAACATCTTTTACACCGAAAACAACTTTTATCAAGTTAATAGCATAAAACAAAAACCAAATTATCTACTCATAGGCAGATGAATATGTCAATTTACGTATTTTAAAACCAAATGTTACTACTTAATAACCCCAAATTTCAAACAATATTAAATACAAAAATTTTAATAAAACATTTTGGGATCATGAGCAGTCAGTATGAGGATCTGAACTACAATTAAGACACGAAGGGGATACTTGCTCCATTTAGATCATTCTAACCCAGGACTGTTCATCATTCACTAGAGAAGCTGTTACACATTCCCATACCCAGACATGTAGACCTAGTAGGTCATGGATGAAGCTATGTGGACATTTTAAAATACTCCCAGCATTTTCTGCAGAATATTGCCTAAGAACTACTTTCCATGAAATGTATGACATGCCTTCAGTTTTATATGTACATGTATGTTTAATTTCTAAGCAACTTCACTATTTAAAATATCTTAAGCTATTTTGCCCGAAGTTACAGAGAACCTGACTTTCTGCAACAAGTTTATGCCATTAAAACTTCACATGCTTTTTTGTTAACGGAATTGCTTTTTAAAGTCCTTGACTCTCAATTCACAAAAAAATGCAATTTTCATAAGTGATATTTTCTTTAAATTAAGGCATAGAGTACAGACACCTAGTCCTCTAGATGAGTATATTCTGATAAGTAGGAATTATTTCTATGTAAATATACTGAATGTATCTTAACTCTAGCATTTACAAAAATAAAGCAATTACAAAAAATATACTATTAAAGAATATACAGGGGTGAGCAAAAATAGGCTCATAGCTGTGAATACATGGGTTTATTTTTATATTATTTACCATATGAACTATAAGCCTATTTTTGCCGACCTCTGTATCTACACAATAAATTTTATAACTAGGAAAAAAAAGACTTTAAGATAATTCTTCAAATATTGTTTCCAGATTATATTCCATGTTTTTTTTTAACACAAATATACAATAGAAATATTTTAAAACCACATATTCTGAGGATGAATACCAACTTTGACTTCTTGTTAGGTAAAGATCCAAAGTTCACTGGTATATTTCTAGTGAGCACTCCAAAAACTCCAAACACTTATTTAAATAATTTTCAAGACTACTTACTTTCTTCATTGCATTCATGCTCTAAGAACTGATAAAATATGCTTGAAAACTCGTAGATCAAAAAGTATTTAAATTTTACACACAACCTGTAAAATTTCAATACTTAAAAACATCTATACCATCCCTTAAGTTTAATACTTAATGAGTATTTTGCTTAGTAAACAATCTCCTAACATAATCCTTTTCATACATCCTAAAAAAATTACTTGAGTTTGAAGATTCAAATTCTATTCCTTACTTCAAAATAATTGTACATTTCATTGATTTCTGTAATTCCAAGACCTTATATTTCATATGACAAGCTGAAGTTTCGTTAAGAAAAACTTTACTTATGTTTACATGTGTATCCAGGGTTGTCCTATGCATTCGAAGATATTATTGAGTGTCACATTGAGCCTGGAAAACAATGGAAATCTTTACTCCATTGTATGCATGTGGAGAACTGGATTTTTAACTTAAAATTACCTAAAATATAGTCATTTGTTTGTTAAATTTTAATGTTAAATTTTAACATTTGTTTTTTGTTAAATTGTTAAATTTTCCTTTCCTCCTACCCTGCCTTTATCATAATTACATACATAAATTCAAAATATAACTTTTAATAATTCTTGCTATATTACCAAAACTTGTTATTTTTTTCAAGAATCTTCATGTAAATTCAAGTTTTTGATAAATTAAAATATACTGCACATTGCTTTAACAGGGAGAATAAACAAATAAAAAACAAGACTTGCAAAATGGCATTGATATTACTCAATTTGGGCAGAGATAAAATATATTTTTTCCAAAGTCTTAATAATAATCACATTCATCAGTAAAAAAATTAGTAATCTGCTGGTTCCTCTATTCTCCTTTATAAGCAAATATACCTGTTTAAGAAAATTTTGATGTCTGAAATCAACACTACAGCAAATAAAAGGCTAAATTGAAGAAAAAACCACACAGACTTTCTTCCCCATACCACTGCAATATTTTAAATGCATAGGAATACAACAAACTCAAAAGGAAAAAAAAAATAGTGTTTTATTAACTATCACACTGTTATAATACACTTTAAACATACAATAAGGTAGCCTTTAAATTTGAGGTGGTCTTAAGAAAAACAAATGAACAAAATTCCAAATTTTGAAATAGGTGAACTGCTGCAGTTATAGGTATACATTTAGGAAAATTGTATAGCTCTTACAAGACCAGCAATGAAACTTTATTTTGTACATTTTTAATAATTGAAAATATAAACAATAATTAAAAAATAAAAAGAAAATACAGCGTAATAAAAAAACATACGTTTCTCAATTAAATGTACTGAATACATACAAATTTTAAGGGAAGAAGCAAAAAAAAGAAAATGGTTGATATTTAAGTGCAGACTGACTACCTAGACAAAAAAAAAAAAATACTTAAAAAAAATATCATAAAACCACTAGTTTTCTATGACTAATATCCATATGGTTGGAGTATTGTCACTATGGAAGTGATTTTGTTATGTTTGCATATGTTATACTTTACTGGTAATTTACATGATGGCTTTTAAGGCCCTGGCAGACATGGTTTTTGGAAACAAGATTGAATAAAAAAGTCACTGCTAAGACGCAATACACCTTATTTTTTTTGGTCCTCCAATATGCAAGAAAAGGGATATCTCACTAGAACATTTTCTTACCACCCAAATGCCTCAACCTATACATTTTTAACTTTTTTAAACATTGGTTATATTGCCCAACTTCGTTATTGAAAGAATATTAACAAGACATTATTTTGGCAAATTAAATCTTAAACATGGCTTTTCAACAGGATTTAAAAGGTGACTATCCCTAGAGTTCCATGTTAAAATGTAGTTTTCAAAATCTTACAAGAGTAATGCTTAAAATATTGTACACAGTTAACCTAATTAAAATAATTAGCTTCAAAATGACAAATTGATAAGCTAAGTAAAGCCTACACTATGTAACATTTGCTTGGAAACTTGATTTGTCAGTTATGCATAATAAAAATTCCAGTCATCAAGAAAATTACAAAAATTTTTTTTATCATAACATGATTTCTTTCACCCACCAACTTTTTTATCTTACAATAGATAAATACCAACATGTTCTCATTTTTACACTAAACCACACAGGATTGATGCATTTGGTTAGACTACCATTCGCATTAAATTCAATTTTCTTTATATAACTTGGTAAAATTTCATTTCTTCTAGATTCCAAAAGTACCTACAAAACCCATGCAATTTTACCATTTTTAATATACTATGGAATATCATACAAAGTAAGGCATTTCAGTGTCATGTATAACCAAGTTACTGTCAATCCAAAAATTTTTGCACATCAATAAAAAGATATCTAAGAACTTAGGAACAATATTCTTCTCACTACTGTATAAAAATAACCACAATGAATAAGTATTTGTGTAATATTTACTCCATTGTCTCATTTCCAGAAACTGTGACAAGCTGTAAAGGTATTTCAGTGTTGGTAAGGATATCTTGATTGCTGGTGGTGGAAGTATTAACAGTTCCTATCCCTGAAACAGAACCTTGTTGAATATTTGCAAGGATAAGTGTTGTTCCTCCTGCAGTAATCAAAGTATCATCTCGTGCAGTTTCCACAGATGCCAGCACTGTACTGCTAGAGTGAATACCTTTTTTATTCTGATGTGTTTTAATATGTTTGGCAAGGTGATCACTTCTCATAAAGCGTTTTGAACATTCTGGACAAACAAATTTCTTCTCACCTGTTAGAAATAAAATTAAGTAACTTAATTTTCTGAATTCAACAATAGACTGATAATTCCCTGAGAAAGAAAATAACCTAACATTGACAGGCAAGGACAGGGAACAGAGTTCAAATAACATTGTGTTAGTTTCATGAACTGCCTCTGCAATTTTCTGATAGAATATTTCCCCTCAAAATAAATGTCATCTTTACTTTTTTATGAAAAGCAGTCTTCTAAACTTATTATAGTCTGTCATTCAGATATTTTAATACCTCAACTATGCTAATAGTTTGTTTTAAAGCATGTTACAAGGTATCAGCTAAAAAATGATAATCTGCAACATAAGTAAAATTGTTTTGTTCAGTTGTTTTCTTTTAATAACGAGAAGAAAAAAAAAATTGACTTCTAATAGAGCCACTGTTTTCCCCTTGTCTGCGTGGATTTTCTCCAGGTAGTCTGGTTTCCTCCCACACCCCAAAGATATACAGGTGTGTCTGTCTGCACTGTCCCAGTCTGAGTGAGTGGGGATGTAGGTGTGAGGGCACCCTGCAATGGAAGAGGGTCTTGCCCAGGGCTGGTTTCCACCTTTCACACAGAGCTGCTGAGAGAAGCTCCAGCCAAGCCACCTGCAACCCTGAACCTAACATAAGCAGGTTGGAAAGTCGTGTGTGTGTGTGTGTGTGTGTGTGTGTGTGTGTGTGTGTGTGTGAGAGAGAGAGAGAGAGAGAGAGAGAGAGAGAGAGAGAGAGAGAGAGAGAGAGAGAATATGTGTATTTCAATGTATTCCAATGTTTAATATTAGCAGTGTAGCGATGTTTTTTGGTGTGTGTGTAGCGATGTTTTTTGGTGTGTGTGTGTGTGTGTGTTTTTATCTTTATTGTTGAAAGTATCAGATGTCTACTTTCCCCCCATTGATCCCTGTTAGGCTGTCCCCGATGTAGTGATGTTTTTGTGATCAGAAATATGCCATAGGAACTTATTAACTCTCACTTATGTCAGCCAGCTGTGGTAAATTGTTTTTGATAAACATCATTTCACACTTAAAAGTCTCAGTTTCTACTGATGTCATTGAGGACTCACTGTATTCCTTTAAAGAAGTTTATAGTTTTAAGCTATATTTAAGGTTATTATTAACATGTTATACCCATGATATTAAACCTCCAACTCTTCAACCTGAATTCAAGTACACAGAGTACTTCTAGATAAAAGTAAAAATGCAAACTTGAGGTCCACTGAGATTAAAACCCCAAGAAATGGCTAGCTGACGACTTCATCTGGAATAATTAAGAGCAAACCCAATATATCATGTTAAAGTTAATAAGACCCTGATGAATAAAACATTTTTAATACAAAAGACAGACTAAATTCTATTATGAAGACTTAATATGTAAGAGGATTAGAAGGCAAAAGGCCAGCCTGAAAAGAATCTACAGAGAAATCCATCAACAAATCTAGTCTTTTCTTAATTTATTTTAACATGCCTTATCCATCTCCTGTTCCAGCACCTCTACTCGAGGTAAGTTCTCAACAGACCTCACGTCTGAATTACATTGCAAGAACACCCTTGTCTTTACTCTTCTAACTTAACAAATCAATACCAGACAAATATTCCTTAAATACCAAATATTATTACAATACAAAACTTTACCACTGTAAGTAAGTGGTATGGGAATGCAAGGCTAACTTGAGATAACTAAGATTATGGCTCAATTCTAATATCTAAAATCTCATCTTCTTCATATCAAATGATCCCTCACCTCTTTTATTCACATACTATTCTTCTGAGACGGTATTTCCCAAAGTTTCTCTTGGAACATTAGTTCTGAGAGATGTTCCATGGCAAATGGCACAAAGATCAAAGATATTTGGGAAATGCTACACAAACTACACCCCTCCACAGAGGTGCATGGTGCTTGTTAACGTTTAATTAAAGGTCGTAAAAGATGCTGCCTTGAAACATCTTTTACCCAGTGTTTTCCACACATTTGGTCACAAACCTTCCCCTGCACACCCCCCTCCCCCCATTTCATTGACTTTTATATCCTGCTGACCAAATTCCACTGAGGAAAAGTCTGTTATAGGGCCATAAAACCAATCCATTGCCCCAAAATCCCTTACTATCCCAAGCAATCATGATCTCTATCTCTAAGCATACTTTCTTGCATTTTCTGTTGCAGTTATAAACAACTCATCTGTCTACCTACCTACCTGAAGAGTGAGACAGAAACTATAAAACAAGTAGAGCATCTAATATGTATAATACTAAATACTTCACAGGTTATTTTATGTAATATTTAAAGCAATACAAGAGGTGTGAAAGCAGGTCAGAGACAGCTTATTTACTTAATCTAACAGAGTTCATGGATTTGAATCCAGATCTAGGAGACTTCAGGATCCATAATGTCCTCCATTTCACCATGCTTCTTCTTTCTAAGCTCTCTAGGACTGTAAGTACATTACATATTTTTTTCAATTCTTCAGTGTTGAACATAGACTGAACACATTGATCATTACATGGTAGCAGAAGAAATCTCTAAATTATAAATCAGGATTAAGTTTGGGTCATTCGTAGGCCCATTTCATGTAACAACCACATACTATATAAAAACAATTAAATGAAAGAATCTTAATATCAACAATGCCTTTGTTATTTCTCAATGAAATATCTTTTGCTTACATCAGACATTAAAACAGAGAAAAGGTGAAATGTCTAACTTTGTCAGAGGAAAAGGAATTATTTTTTATTAAAGTGTTGCGGAAGATGAAAGAGTTAAGATAGATAAGCAACAAAAGCAGACAACTAACTTGAAAGGTTTAACATAAAAAATAATAGCATAAATGTGGCTTAAGATACTCAATAACATTAAAAACAAAGCACTAACTAAAAAAGAAAAGTTAACCAATGTCTGCATAAAACAAATGTTATTTTATAAGTCATATTAGCTTGTTGTTAATAAAGATAAGAATTTGATGTGATTGGTCACATTTTTAAAATTCAGTTCAGGTATGTGTTCTAAAAAACAAAAAACTTTCAAGATAGTATATAGCCCTATAATTCATTTTTGTCTGTTAAAAGTAAATATTAGTAACCTGTATGTGTTCTTCTGTGCCTCTGTAATTCATCACTTCGAGTAAATCTTTTACCACAGAACATCCAGTTACAAACAAAAGGGCGCTCCCCAGAATGCCAACGTAGATGAGCTCTCAGATGTGAGGTCTTCCCATAGACTTTACCGCATCCTGGTATATGACAAATGTGTTGCTTCTTTTTCCCAAGATTGGTACCTCTAAAAAACACACAGAATAATATATACTTACATGTAAATATTCAAATGGATATTACCACTTACATATCATCATGTTACATCTCATATAGAAGACATTATCACCATGAGATCAATCAGAAACCAAGACCAATTAACATCAATTTCAATAAAAAAATTTTCAAACATGTTAATTTTACATGTTGATTTTACTCAATAATTAAATTGCTGCCCAAATGTAAGTATGTTAAAGTATTACATAATTTAAAAGGGTATTTTACATATTTTAAAAAGTGTAACAAAGTTATTGATTATTCTGTCAGAACCATTCACAAATTCTATGCATAAGCCCAATCCCAATTTAGTAGTATGGGAAACTAAGTGGTCTACTCAAAGTCATGCTATTGGCTAATTTAAAAAGGAAATAAACCAAGCATGAATACAAAACTAATCACAGGTACAATTAAAAGGTAGATAGGCACATTATGCATATTTACTCATATATTTATATGGCCACACCCTGAATATACACTGAAGAAAGTTTTTTAAAAAATTTTGGACAAAGCTTTCTTAGCTCCCTTAGCATTACATGAAATAAATATAAATAAAAATTATCTTTACAGTTAAAATTTCTTTCATATTAACCATGCAAAGATACCCCAAATTATACATCAACGATATAATAAAATACAATTTCTCCACATCACAAAATTTAACATTTGTTGTATTTCAGTATTGATATCAAGAACAGGGTTTGGGAGATATATGCTTAGATGGGTGAACAGAGGTATCTTATACTAAGCAAGAAGAAAACTTTTTTATTCCATAACTGATATTCAAATAATCTTAAACACTACAAAATGATACTACTACAGCTTTTAAAAAATTAGACTAGTTACTGAATAAAAATGAGTTTATAAAAAACATGTAACATTTCAGACTCACAATTGTCAAAACCATATTATATAAAATTTGCAATGTTTTTGAGATTAACAAAGGTACATTTAAGAACCCCCAACTTCCCGTCCTCCCCCAATCTCAGTCTAGCTTATAGCCTGCAAAACTTCCATAAGCCTGAAAATCCTCCTGTATATAATACACCTATATTTTTCAAATTTTACTAGAAAAATGCGTATTTCCCCACATTTATATTTTAATGTACTCACACTCAGTAGCATGTGAAATTGCCATAGGACAAACAGTGCTAAACGGTGCAGTGCTGGCTGTTAGATGCCATAGGTGTTCTGAACAGGGAGACATCAATGTGGGCTCCAGTAGTTAGAGAAGGCTTCGTGGAGGAGGTGGGTAGGATTTAGATAGAAAGGAGGGAAGGCATTCCAGGCAGAGGAATAGCATAAGTAAAGACAAGGAGGAATCATGCTGTTGTCTCAAGGGCAAGGATGTCATAATCTAACACAATTCTAGTTTCTGCTCCAGTCCACCCCCAATTTCTACAACTCTCTTTAAAGAGCTGAGTTGAGTGAAACAGGTCTTTCTGGCTCACCTGTAATGCCAAAGTCTTAACCAAAGCCAATATGTTTCCTTTAATTTCGTTTTTTTAAATTTAGCATATTCTTAAATAGCCCTAAGAAAAAGAGCAATGCTTGTGGCTCCTGGTGTGCAAACCAATTTTATATATCGTGTTCACCATAGCAATTTCACAGAGAACCCCATCTGGTTCACTGTTATACTCTCCTAAGACTACCAACTCAGGTGAATCATGTGCTTTTATAAACTCAAAAGTGCTATTTTACTAACTTAGCAAAAATTTAGCTTGAGAACACTAACAAAGCACAAAATTGTAACAAAATGCAGCAACAAATTTGGGTTCTCAAAGAACCAAGAAGCCAGAGAAAGATAAAGATATTCCTCATTATTAAAGATATTAAAGGTATTCCTCATTATAAGGAAATAAGAAATATTCATTATTTGGAAATAGGACAAGCATCTAAGAAAGAAAATAAAAATAGAGATGGGCACACATAAATATATAATTTAAGGGAAAAGCTCAAAATGCAGTCCAAATTTCCATTTAAAAAGGAAATTCTATTCCAGATAAGAACTAAATGTGCTAGGCATGAATTTATGGTATGTGATGATGTAAAGGAAGGAAAAGAATTGAAGTAAATTTCTCAACAAACTTCAGGTAACAAAAGATTTAGCCATACGTTTTCATCATAATCATACCTATAATACTTACTATATAATCTGAAAAACCGAAGAATTTTAAATTTCTACTATTTTTGAGTGCCTAAGCATGCTCCAAATAATTTAATCATGCCAAGATAGAGTGAATAGAATAAATAAACTAAAGGTAGAGGGATTAAGAAAAGCTAAATAACCAAGTCTTTCTTTTGCTTGGGATGGAAGAAATGGGACACAGACTGAGCTGACAAAGAAAACAGATTTTTGCAAAATAACTTAATTTTTCTAAATATGGATTGATGTTTAATCTACACAAAATCGACATAACAATGCCTTTAGAATGTATTTCCCTTTATTAAAATTTTTTGTCTCTTCCATTAAAGTAAAAAATTTCTGAAGGCTTGTTCTACTTAACAAATATTGGCTAAATGGCCAAATAAATACTGTTTTTTAATACCTCATTATATTTTACATCCTGTTCAAAAGGGCAAACAAATGAAATTTAGTTCTCTAAATTACACATATTTTATTTAAAGAATATGACAGAGAAAAATGGCTAATAACCTAAATTTTTTAAAGTACCACCTGTCTCACCAATGCCAAACATTTTGGAATATTTGGGATTTACTATATATATATATATATATATATATATATATATATATGTTATGATTTTATTAGAGACAGCAATTGTCAATGATACAATTGTGCCTACTATATACATATGAACATACAGAACTCATATGTTCAAATGAGTTCTAAGAAACAATGTAAAAGATGTCTTACAAACATCAATTTTGATTTCTTAGAATAAATTATTTTAAAATGAACTTACAAAACTTCTAGAAAAAATATAAGTGCTTTTATAATTCTCAGACTGAAAAGATTTTAAAGACATCATACAAAAACTCTTAACTAAAAAAGACTGGGCTTAAAAATGTTTGCAAACTAAGTAATGAAACTCATTCTTCACTTGTATAACAATGCATTTTGCGAACCACAGTCATAAAGTTGAAAGTCAATGTAAAATCAGAAAAAATGTCTGTGTATGACAAACACACAAATTAACAGATTCACAGAAGACATAAAGAAACAATGCACAAAATAAATTTTAAAAAGGTAAAATAATGTTCAATCTCACAAATAACAAATATACTAAATAAATAAAATAATACTGAGGTATTACTTTTCATCTATCAGACTTTAAAAGGCTTGAAAAAAATTATAAAATCCATTATTGGCAAGGGTGTGGAAAAGCAGATATTCTCATATACCACTGGTGGAAGTAATAAATTGGTAAAGCCTTTCTAGTACACAAATCCCTTTGATCCAAGAATTCCATTTTTACCAACTTACACTGATGAAACAATCAAACAAATGTACAAAGATGTATGCATGAGAATCAAAATGACAATAAAATCCCCCCCAAAAAAGACGTTAAATTTTTATGCACCCATACAATAGACTACTATACAGCCATAAAAAAAAAAAAAAAAAAAAAAAAAAACTGATGCAAAATATATAGACGTGAAAAATGTGGTCACAAAAATTTTCAAAATAAGAGACATGTAAAGTAGTGAGAATAAAATAATTATACTTTAAAATACTTATAAAGTCTGGAAGGATATATATATATATAAATGTCACAACCATTATCTTGAGGTGAAATAGGATTTGGGTATTCTTTTAATACTCTCCTCTACTTCTGAATTTTTATGAGCATGCATTAGTTTAATAAACATTTTTAAAAGATTTTCATTTTAAAGAATAAGTAAAACAAGCCAGACCTTGATCCTCAATTTGACTTGCATAAACAATTATCTTGAAAGTTCCTCTAAAAATAAGTTAATTTCAGAAGTTATTGCCTAACTAAAAAGTTCCATTTACTTAAACTGACCAAACTATTTCAAATAAATGCAATTTCAAATAACTGAATAATTACCAGTAAATACAAATATCTAAGCATCAGATGCAGAAGTAAATCCACTTAAGAGGCAGTATAGAGGTAAAGTTCTGGATCAAGAATCTGGAACCAGATATCTGTTATATGTGCTCATCCAAGCACTCACTTCTCTATGCCTCACTTATAAAACTATCTAATCTCTCACTGTTAGAAGTTATTTATTGCTAACTGACTGTCCAATGTTCAAATCAACTAATAAGATTTACTCAAAGGCAAAGTCTCTTTATCTCAAACTCATTAACTATCAATAGCATTTTTGTCTGTTTAAACAGTGCATTTTTGAGAGAGGTATGTTAAGGCCTTTCCCTATGACTGGGAATTTGGTTAGTATATCTTTATAGTTCTCAGCTTTTGCTATATATATTTCAAAGATGTGGGGGAAAGATACCATGACTATTAAATCTTGGTGAAAACTTTATGTTATTAAGCAATATACCCCTATCTATCCAATTGATGATTTTTACCTTAATCCTACCTTGCTGTCCAAGTTCTCTTTGTTAACATTTGCTTAATCAATCTTTTTCCATCCTTTTAGCTGGATTTTATGTTCTTTAAATATGATCTGAGTCTCCATGCCTTAATTACTAAGCTTTATCCATGCATATTTAATATAATTACTGGTCTGTTTTGAGTTTATTCTTGTCATGTTATTCTGTCTTAATGTTTATTTTTAAAAACTCTAAATTGAAATATTACAGTTCTACTTTTTAAAGGCTTCAATCATTAGGCTTATTATTTGTTGAAAATAAAAATGCTTATGGTTACAACTATTTCTGAATGTATGTTTATACAACTATTCTCAAGCCTAGAATCAAATTTTATCTGTATTTATGCAAATTCCACTGCCAATTTGCAAATAGGCTGATTTCTGACATGAGCCTGTCAAATGGCATCTGTTACACTGTTGTTTTAAATAACAAAAAAACCTACATAGCCAACCAAGTAATTTTAGTTTTAAAAACAATGTTTAGATCTGAAAATTTTAATTTCATACATTTTGTTAACTTTTTCTGCAACACTCATACATACATACACACAAAATAATCATGTAATGAATAATATCCCATAATTAAGTGATATAGCATGCACTATTTCAAAAATTAGGGTGATGATATAAGCAGTCTTTAAAAAAAAATGTTTAATGTGTGCATACCTCCCACCACCATCTTTACAGTTGGGACAGGTGCAAGCTACCCTCCGAAGTCTTTTTCCTTCTTGATGTTGTTGGTCCCCTTCTTCATCTACCACCTGTACTCTTAAATGTGTTAGGTCGTTGGTATTCAATGTAGAATCACCACTGAGCTGCCACTCTTCAGGATCAGGTTCTTCTTCCTTGATCCTAATATCTAAAGATGAAAACAAATACAGATCAGCAGCAGCAAAATGGCCCAAAAAAGAAAGCATGAGATCTGAGCCACCCTAGGGTAAAGTGAGTACTGTACTATGTAAAATTGCTCCTTATTGTGGCTTATCCTTTCAAAACAATCTCTTTATTCCAAATACCAAAATTGAAGCCAACAGGGGAATAAAACCACAATCAGCTCACTTTAAAAGATTCATTAAGAAAAGCAAGTGGATTTTTTTTAAAGCAAACTCAATCATAAACAATCTGAAACTTCAATTGTAATTGTTCAATCAGGCAAAAATATCTAATGGTCAATTCAGATTGGAATAAATTTTAAACCTTAAACCTCTCTTTTACAACCTATATCAAATATGCATAGTCTGTAGGTACTATGTGAATGCAAAAAAAAGGATGGCATTCACTTGAAACTGTTAGTCACATACTTAAATTTTGGAATCAATCATTACTAAAATATCTAAAATGGCCACATCACTGTAGAAGGAGGTATAGAGAAGTATGAAAGTCAGTTTCTGTTTGGTAAACAAAAAGAGCAATGGTAAATATGGCAGGAAGTTTTATCATTTTACTCAGAAGAGCTAAACATCTTTAGTTATTCAACAATGATGTATCATTTTCTACTAGAAACTAAGAGTTGTATATTTTTCTTAGAAAACTGATTCTATTTTAAAGAAATAATACATAATTTACAACACTGAATATAACAATTTTCAGTAAAATAAACCTATAAACTTTTATCTTGATTTAAGAATGCTAAAAATCTTAATGAAAATTTACCATTTTAGATCTATGTCACTAATAATTGGCAAAAATAACTCAAAATACCAAATGTACCCCAAAACTCCTAAATTTATACTAAAGTAAACTAAAATATATAACCAACAATCAAGAAAAATGGCTCAAATAGTTTAAAACTAGTGTATTTTATCAGAAAAACCACAATCAAGAATCAGGGGGAAATATGAGAAAAGAAGGGACCTTCAGGTGAGTCCTGTCAGTCCATTCCCATCTCTCTTTTGCCAATCCATGTTCGAACAGCCTCCCAAATTTTCTTCCTAATATAAACTCAATGGCATCACTTTCCTGATTTAATACTTACACTAATTTCCTATTTCCTACAGTGTAAAGTCCAAACTCATTAACTTGATAGTCAATTTGGCCCCAGCCTACTCTTCCAACTTGAGTACTGAAACAATGGAATTCTCATCCTTTTCAGAATACATGTTCTTTCCCAATGTCATGCCTTTTGCCTGGACTGCTCTTTCTTTTTTCATCTAACTAACCTCTATTTATCCTTTAAGACTAGTTCAAATGTTATCTCCTTTATTCAAGCTTCTGGTAGAATTAATTATAATTACTGGCTCATATATCCCTTTAGATAATGAATGCTTCATTCAAAAGTGCTTAGAAAATACAATCTGACTGAACAAACCTCCCCTAAGGAGGAACTTCCAATATAGATATAGAAGTTCCTGGAAAGATTTTGCCTTCTGCTTTTCCATGCTTTCTGCAAGTTATATAAAGAGAAAAATTTTATAACTTAAAGAGTCAATTCATATGCACAGGTCCACCCTAAAGACACAAGGTTACACCCAATTTTTAACCATTTCACTTGTTCATATATATCTAGGATATTTTAGAATTTTAATCACAAAATTAATTAATTTAATAAGTTTTAAATAAATCCCCTTTGCCAAATGCATACCAATTTTATACAGACACCTTAAATGTAAGTCTTCAGTACTAGGCAATCAAATTTACTTCTTTCTCGATATCTTAATATAAACGACAGGAAAAATTTTTTTACTGTGCTGTATTAATAGCCCCCAGCTATTCTTAGAATAACTACTATTTATAAGACTTAGGAGAATAGGAAATAATAATCCATCAAAACAACTCATTAAAAGATACTCGATATTATAGATACCAGAAAAATTAAATAACAATGAGATATCCGATACACCCACCAAAACAGCTAGAACCTTTAAAACAGACCAGGCCAATTGTTAGCAAAGTAATGGAACAACTGAAACATTCCCACCTGGTGAGCAGGTGTGTAAATAGATGTAACAACTTTGGAAAATCTAATGACCATATCTTCTAAAGCTGAACTTATGTATGTATACCTTATAACCCATGCAATTTCATTCCAAGAGAAATGCATAAACACGACATAAAAGTACAAAAATTCACCCTAAACTGTAAACAATTCATATCCACTAGTACTGAAAGGGAAAATAAATCATGAGCCCTGGCCATTTGACTCAGTACAACATCAGCCTTCGGACTGAAGGGTCCCAGGTTTGATTCCAGTTAAGGGCACATGCCTGGGTTCCTGACTCGATCCCCAGTAGGGGGGTGTGCAGGAGGCAGCCAATCAATGATTCTCTCCTATCATTGACATTTCTATCTCTCTCCCTCTCCCTCTTCCTTCCTCCCTGAAATCAATAAAAAAATTAAATATATTTTTTAAAAGAAAATAAATCATGACACAGTCATTCATACAATGAAATATGTTAAAAGAATGAAAATTAGCTTATAGGCAACAACAGGAATGAATGTCAATTTTAAAATTGTTTATATAAATAAAGTAGCGTTGCCCATTAAGCTCAAAATCGGCAACACTACTTTATGGTGACCGCCTACCTTTAACAGAGGTAATGAATGAGTACAGGGAGATTTCTGAGTTACTGGTAATACACCATTTTTTAATCTGGGTGGTAATTTTTCCTATATGGTCATTTTATAAAAACTCATCAATTTACACACACATGGTTTATACATTTTTCTGAATGTATATCATTCTTCAACATAAAGATTATTCTAAAGAAAAAATTTTTAAGTAATTTATAAGACATTACTAAGAATTCTGTTAAAGACAGTCAATCAACACCTTTGGTTGTGGCTTCATCTCTAGTTCTTATATCATCAATTAGACCCTACCCCACAATAACAATTTTAAAAAAGAGGGGGAGGGGGCAACACTTAAGATGAATGTACTCTAAACTTAAGTCCATAATTTGAAATTTAGAATAAAAAATTCACTAAACATACATGAGAATGACTACAATGTGCTGGTCATGGTTCTACGTTCTAAGGATAAAACAGTTAAGAGTTAATTAAGTTTATGCCTTTATCGAGTTTTTTAGTTGGAAGAAAAAACAAATAAACAAGTAAATATACAATATTTTATGTGGTGGTAAAGTGTTATGGTAACCAGCAGGGTAAGCAAAGGTAGGAAGCGAAAGAAGGGAAGGTCAGAGAAAGCTTTGCCAAAGTGATGACCTTTGACCCTTAAGAAGGCAAAGGAGCAAGCAAGGGGTAAAGTATTGCAAGCAGAAGAAAAAGCAAGTTGGATATGTTTGTGCTTGGTGGGTTCAGGGAATAGCAAGGAAGCCTGTGTGGCTAGAATGAAATTAATGTGGAAGAGAAATCCTATATAATAAAAGTCTAATATGCAAATTGTCCCCTGGACCAGGAGTTTGACCAGGGGGCAGGGCCCGCCAGCCAACCGCCTGCAGCCCCTTGCCCCCACTGGCCCCGCCCCAGCCAGCGGAGGAGACAGGCAGCTTGGGGAAGGGAGGCCCCAGCCAGCAGCAGCCACTACGAGACCCTACCCATGCATGAATTTCATCACTGCACCTCTAATAAGTAATAAGATCATAGGAGGGAACAGGTAGGATCAAATCATATATGACCTTATACATTGTATATTACCTCATAAGCCATTGTAAAAGCTTTACATTTCATTCAGAGTAAGGGAAACCACTGGAATTTTAAGAGTAATATAATTTAAATTACATTTTGTTAAAATAAATCCTGAATCACTCCAGGTACTATATTAGAGAGACTACTGCTAGGAAGTAAGAGTACGGTGACTAAATAAATTAGGTGGCTACTATATCATCAAAGCAAAAGATGACAGTGGCCTAAAACTAGGGTTGATGTGGAAGTGATGAGGAATGGTTAGTCAAGAAATATTCTGGCCTTAACTGGTTTGGCTCAGTGGATAGTGTGTCAGCCTGCAGACTGAGGGACCCCAGATTCAATTCCAGTCAAGGGCATATACCTTGGTTGCGAGCACATACCCAGTAGAGGGTATGCAGGAGGCAGCTGATCGAAGTCTCTCTCATCGATGTTTCTAACTCTATCTCTTTCCCTTCCTCTCTGTAAAAAAAATCAATAAAATATGTATTTTTTTAAAAGAAAATTATTAAAAAAAAGAAATATTCTATAGGTAGAGTCAAAGATATTTGATATAATAGATTTGACAATAAGATTTTATGTGAGGTGACAAAACAAGAAGCTACAACAATTCTAAGATTTTTGTCCTAAGCTACTAGATGAAGTTGTCATTAATGGAAATAGGATAGGCTGAAGGTAGAAAAGATTGTAGGAGAAGAGTCTCAATCAAGGGCCCATTTTTGGATATGAAAGTTTTGAGATGCCTATGAAATATCCAAATGATGATCAGGCAGGTGATGAGTGAGTCTGCAGCTCAGATAGAAATATATCCTGCAGATATAAATTTGGGCATCATCAGCATATAGAGTTGGGTTACTGAGAGTCAACTGGAATGGAGTGTAGATAGGAAGTACCGCTGGGGCACTTCAAAGTTAAGTAGAGAAGATTAAGTGAAGTAAAATAGGGCTGAGAAATTATTTTGGATGTTACAATGTGATAATCACTGGTCATCTTGACAAGAGCTGTTCAACAGTAGAGAAGTGAGGACACAACCCTGCCTAGAATAGATTCAAGAGACTGGAAGGGGATGAATTGGAAACAAGAATTTTGTTAGGAAAGCAAGTGTTGTAAAAATGGCAACCGAGCCATGCCAGCAAGGGCTTCCCCTTCTATTTTTTTACAGCAGTTTTCCAAAGCTTTTCTACCCAATTGGGGACTATACAGTAATAGGATTATTCTTCCTATTAAATCTAGAAGTAAAAAATTTATAGGATTCAGTTAAGAAACATAACAGGAGCC